ACTTTGTCAATAGAGTAGCTGGATTCTGGGATATTAAATCCGAAACACCGAGTCCCGAGAGACGTTTGTGTGTAGAAGAGCGATTTAGGGGGCGTACGGGGGGGTCGGCAACGGGATATTTGATCGCCTGACGTTATATATAGCAAAGTATATTGCCGGATCGTACGCCACTCCATGCTTTAGACAGAGAGGAACACAGAGAGAGGAAAAAGAAAAGAAAGAAAAAAAAATGGAAAGTTGCCCACTTAAGCGACTTCTCTCTTATGCTCTTGTGTACTTTACTGACATATAGAGGATAAGACAATCACCCGATCACGTGACCCGGCAACCAATAGGGCGGATGGCCAAACTTCAGTCGGGTGGAGCCGATATTGAAATGCGAATTTTCCACTTTCCATCGGGAACTTTTAATATATAAAAAACTAGTTATGAATGCTTCGGCCAATCGAAAAAAATCTCCTTACCTTCTATTTCTTTAATATATTCCCTATATTTGCCGAATTTCCCTAAATATCTTTAAATCTTCTCCTAATTTTAGCTTTTCTCTTGTGTTATTAACTAAGTTACATTTTATTGCGTGATTCACTTAAACAGTTTATTTTCCTCTAAAATAACCCTCATAATTTACTTAATTAGAGAAATTTAATTATGTTTTATTGTTTTCCATCTTCTTATAACTTCAAAATTCCCTTAAATTTGTTGATTAAATCTTATATTTAAAATAAATCTTAATTGATTGATTGATTGATTTTTTTTGCTTTCTACCTTATAGTATAATTATCGACCTATGGAAATTTCCCTAAATTTTAATCCAGCTATTTTCTAATAATTATAAATTTACCCATTTTCTTTTAAATTTGTCAAAAACCCCTACAAATAATTATCTTAAAGAAAATAGAAAAATTTATAATTATTTCCTTGCAGTAATCTTGAATAAAGTTACCTTATGACGTTACAGTTACAGGTGGCCTTTATTGAGGATACCTTATAACCTTATTGTAAGTAATCGTGGGTGAGGATGCCTTAATATCTAAAGAGAAGAGCCTTGATCTAAATAAAAGTGATGTATTGTACCTTAATCTTATTCTATCCGAGCAAAATGCCCTGAAATTGTAGATAATCCTGAGCAAAACACCCTAAAATCCCAGTTGAAATGGCCTCAAAGTTAAACACCCAAAATTTCTATTGAAAAAAAATCCTGGATAAGGATGCCCAAAATCTTGTCTTCTAAGACCAAGATCTAAATTTTGGTCCTAGAATCAAGGCTTTAAAAGGTAAAGTCTGAGCCTGCAATACTTAAAAATCCCATTTTGGGTGATTAAATTGACTTATCTGCATCATTTATCCCGCTTATCACTTATCCTTTTTTTTCCAAACGACGATACATGGGATGCTCGATTTATTTTACAATTTTACGAATAGATGGAAGCTGTAAAACATTTAAAAAGTAAACTTTAAAATGTATGAAAGGTTGTAAAAGGGACAAAGAGGGTGCATTGAACGTGTCAAAAAGCGGCTCTTAAGCCCGAAATAATTAAAGGTATCCACAATAGCCGACTACGTCATTACATAGAAGGGGGCTTGATGTCAGCACTTACATGTGTCGGTGTGTGCCTTTCTCATGGGGTTCCTTCTCTTAGAAGGCTCGGCCTCTCTTTGGATGGTCAACAAACAACCATGGCTGTTGTTTGCCATTCGCATGAACTGCAAATCATATCGATCCGGCCTCTGACATGCACAGATGGGCCGCATTTTTGTGCACGTGCCCATTTGCTACATCGTTGTCACGCTCTGTGCTAAAAGTCCATTTGCCCACCTGCCCTCTGGGTCACAATTGACTCTGTAACTTTCTATCGAACCCGACAGAACCCCTATTGAAAATGGTACTCTCTCGTGCCTCCGACCACCCCTTTGATCTTACTTCCTCTCCCTTATTTTCGTTAAATTTGGCGCCTTTCTTCGGGCATCTCCATATAAAACGGCTTTAAAAAATTTATATATATGTATATATTAATTTAATTTATTAAATATTTTGATCCTATTAAGGATACCGAAAATGTGAAAACCTCAAAGGGGGAGCGCCATAATTAATAGTGCCAATTATTTAAAAGAGAAGTAACCTTGGAGGCTAAATTACCACAAGAACGAATGGTGGAGGTGCGAGGTGTCAACAGTCAAATAGATGGTTGCCTGGCAACGGAAGAGGTGTCAGGTACAGGTAGAGGGGCTGATGTTTGCCCTGTACTGCGTGCGGTCTCCTCCACATCCGAACATGTCCGTTCAATTAGCAGCGATCCCATCAAAGGCTATTGATTGGCTGCATTAGCGATCGTTTGTCGATCTGTTCGCCCCGGGACGTCATCTTTACTCATTCTGTCGAGAAAGACTCCTATCGATCGTATCCTTCCCTTTGCTTTCGCCGATGAAACAATGCATCCTTTCTACTCTCTCCTGCAAAACGGATCACATCTTATGAATTTTAGCGGATGTCGAGCTCGCGAATCGGAAATTTATGCGCGTGATGGACTCTAAAAGGTCACCTTTATCTTATCCAAAAATTATCTTGCTTATAATAAGCCCCACAACCTCGCAGTAGAGGTCTAAAGAAGGCATTCTAAAGCTGTAGCTAGAATGGGTGAACAATGATACAACGATACACGATTTCACGAAATTTATCTCGCGATGGTGTGAAGTTTACATGTCGGACGGATTCTAGACATTCAATTTTATTTCATTCGTAGGGATTTTTTCGTAAATTAAACCTCATAACAGTCTAGTAGAGGGCTAAATAAGGCATTCATCACCACCGTGGAGGAAAGTCAGCAATGATACAGGATTCAAGATTTTTATGAAATTTTAGATGATGTTAGATTGATAATATGAAATTTACACGAGAGATTGGATCGATATATTAATTTTTATATCATTAACAAATATTTTTCTTTGTGTCATGCCCCAAAACAGCACAACAGAGGGATAAAGTGGAATACTCGAAGGTAGTGATAGAGGCAAACGAGCTATGAGTAAAGTCAATTCGTATGAATTTTTCGGGTGGGTTAGGTTTGTAAAACGTAATTTATCAGCATAATTTAGGATCTACACGTTCATTTTTACGTTAAAGAACAAAGACTTTAATTATATTAAGCGCCACAACAAACAGGAGAGGGGACTAAATGTGGCATTCAAAATCATCACGATAGAAGCCAAATGAGCGACGAAGCATATGGAAGACAGGAGCAATAATGGCGAGCGACGTTTGTAATTTCATTTTCGAGACGATAAACAACTGAAAAGGGCCAAAAAAGTGGATCAAAACGGTGTTTTCGAGGCCCGAAAATCGATCCGAATGGTCGCAACACATCATTAAAAAATCGGAAGTGCCAATCGTGTCCTTAATTCAATCAACAAGTACACACACACAAACGGACCGAATAGAATTATGCAGTGGCCGTGAGCATGCGCAGATGATTAGCCCTGCGTGTGTACATCCGCACCACTACGGCAATAAAATTATCAGGAAGAGCGAGAGAGGCCCGTCGCTCCTCTTTGACGTTGTACTGTTGTAGTAATAAGGTAATAATGGAGAGGGATTTTGGTTGTATAATCGATCAGGGCTAATAAAGCGATTAAATTGATTTAAACAGGAGAAAAATCACGATAAATTAAGGCTCAACAAGCCTTTCGTAATGCTTAATATAGTGGCGAGTGATGAGCTGTGATAGCATCTCTCCCGCTCTTCTCCAATTGATGCGAAGTTAAGTTTAAGATAAAGGGATGCTGCAAATGATAAAGAAGATGCAGATGCAATTACGTGGACTTTGCTAAACAAGTAGGGCGTAGCGTAGCCGGGGGGTCATTTTTATTTATCTGTAAGAAGAGCGAGCCTGATCGAAGGGGCGAAGTTGGAAGAATATGAGAGGGCAATCCCACTCAGTCACTGTCAGCAACGTCATTTGTCACCGAAGTCTGCTAGCTGTCTGCTTTGTCTCTATAAAGTCAACTTGGACAGAAAGAGGCGTCGCCATATTGTCTCCTCCTCAGTGTAAACATCTAAAAAGTTGATCGTTCGGGGGTCTAAATGACAAGAAGGAAGACATTTCGATAGGAAGGGACCTTAAAAAGACTACAATAAATGCGACTGTAGCTCACAAACAATGTGTTTTGTGTGCTAGAAATGATGCGGGTGCGATGCCGAGGAGACGGGATGCATTAAACGTCTGAACTGTTAAACATTTAAATAAGTCCGCGAGTTTTAACCTAGACGCTTCAAAAGGCCCCCTAATTCAAGCATTCCACTCAATTAATCCCGCGTAATAAAGGGATAAAGACGACAGCATCGTCGTCATTTCGAGAATCAGCATCCGGTATGACGCTACAACGAGATGAAAATAATAGATCTTAAGGCCCGGTAATCGTCGAGTGACGTCACGTCAAGAGGCCCACATTTATAGCATGGAAGCGAGACCTCATATTTATTAATTACGTAATTAGGAGGTGAGGAGAGGAGCCGAGATGACGGAGGTGGTGCCATTCGCTCCACCTCCTGAACCCGGCACCGCCTCGCAAGAAGTGCCGTAATGGACGTCTTCACCGCCTTATTGTCAAATGACCCACAATGCTTCGCGACACTAAAATGGCGCCCGATGTTTGTCTCAATCCTAAGCATCGTTGTTAACAATTTATGCTCCTCAGCATTCTATAAAATCAACTTAATGATACGTTTAATATGGTAAAAACTAAGGGTGGAGAAGGTCATCAAACGCTAAAAATCGATATTATTTCTATCATATCTTGTAACTAGAACGTACTACATGCTCTTTACTCTTCATATTCATGCAAAAATATATCTTTATATCATTAATATTACGTGGAAAATGCTGCTTAGAACGTGATAAGTTACAAGGAAGATGCTGGGTGTTGTGATTCATCATTCAAGAAAACTACCAACAAAGACAGTTTGCAACGTCGTTTATTGAATCAGAATGCCAAACAGACATATTTATTTACAGATTATATCTATGTATGTGTACATGTGATGTCACGAAAGTACATTCTGGAAGTGCAATTATTATTATTATTTTTTTTTCTGACCGCAACACAAAAAAGAAATTTTTTGGAGGCGTTTCGACAGATTCTCAACTATTTTTTAAACAAATAATCGCGTTCCAGATGTAAAATTATTCATTTTTTTGGAGGCGAAGATGCAGTCGTCGAGAGATATTCTGGCTCTGATAGTCCTATAGAGGCCTTCTGGAATCTCGAAAAGTCATTCAAGAGGATGTAGAGTCATCCAGAAGCGTTTCCGTAGAGAAAGTTCTTCATTATTCTGATTCTGGTGTCCTGTACACTCTCGGGAAGGTTTTCTAGAAGACGTGGATCGTCTCAGGTCTCTATAATCTCTTTCCGGAGATGCGGAGGATGTCGACCATTCGCAGCATCTTTACAGAGAAAGTTCTAATTGTGTTATTTCTGACGTTCCTACCAACGATTCAAGACTCCCAGAAAGATGCCGATTCCTATTTGCATCATCCGAGACGGAAGATGGTGATCATTCGCATCATTTCTACGAAGAAATTCCTGTACAAACGACTGCATCTTAAAGCACATAAACAACAGAAAAAATGGCGAATCATCTTGCAACGAAAGCCTTCTCCATTCTCCAATTAGCGAACCATAAATATTCACGAACGAACGTCGATTTTAATTAAAACTGAATCGAAGATGCAGGACGGGGGAAGGAAGAGGAAGTTCTGCGTGTGTAACGTGTTGTCCAGGGCACTTTCTTTCAAAACAACGGTCCAGTTACGGCTTCCGGTCATGCGTAATGGGGATAAGAACCGATGTGCGACGTCACGTGACCGGGGTGGTGTGGCATGGTGTGACTGGAAGCCGCCGCAATGTTGGAGTACAGGTTGGCACTGGGATTTGTCCAATACGAAGTGGGTGAGGGAAAGATGCTTCCCGTGGTGGAGGGGATGCCCGCGTGGGCCCCTACTGCAAAGTTCAATTTGGGGCTGTGGTGGTAGCTGGACATGAACAGGTCGGACTGGTACTTGTACGCCGTGGGATCGGCCGTTGCGGGTTGTGTGGCCTGTGCCAGTCCTTGGAAATCGAACTTGTAGGCGTACCTCTTACCGTGAACTTTAGTCATGATGTTCTTGTCGTAATAATACCTGAGGGCTCGGCTCAATTTGTCATAGTTCATGTTTGGCTTGCTCTTCCTTTCGCCCCATCTCCGGGCCACCTCGTCCGGATCCGTTAGCTTAAATTCTCCGTTTGTACCCTCCCACGTGATGCAGTTAGCGTTACTGCTGTCCGACAGTAGCTCCAACAGGAACTGCCATAACTGAATCTGGCCGCTGCCTGTAAAGAATTGTAGGAAAATCTCAGAAAAGAAAAAAAAGGATGGAGGAGCAGGAGGAGGACCTTCTGCATCCGGATTTTAATCTCTACGGACGGAGGAGGTCGAGTCGTCTATGTTATAAACGCCACTCACCTGAGCTGGCCAATCTGCTGCTAGTCGGACCGAACATCTGATACGGATCTAGAAAGAAAAACCTTTTAGTTACGCATCACTCCTTTATTTTAACACGGGAGACACCCTTAATTAAAGATAATTACGTCGAATTTTTGTCTATTATCTCGATAACTTAAAAAGGATAACCGAGAGCAGATAGATGGAGAAAGATGCGGATCTCCTTGATTTACGACTTTTTCGCCAGCAAGTTTGTCCATCTACCACCTTTAAAAATAGTCGGAACTTTTTATCTTATCTATAAATAAATCTTTTCGTTATCTAGATTAAAGTTAAGATAAACTCTATTTGGTTTGAAGTCCGGAGTCCATCCGGGTGTCGTTATATTGATCAAAACATTTCGGAAACCTGGAATTATCTTAGGTGAAAAGTTGGTTCCTGCAAGACGAAAATTGTCTACAATATTCTAGAGTTAAGATAATCGTATATATATTATAGATAACATCTCGGGGAAAATATCTAGATTATAGATAAGAGACAGCGTGGGAGTCGATGATGCGTAGGAGACGTTTCTAGGAGCGAGATCGAGTCGGAAAATGATCGGAATTGATACAAAGGGAGGAACAGAGAGCGGTAATCAAGATTAAACAGGAAGATACAGTGGAACGGAATAGGAGGAAGGGATAGAGTGGTCAAGAGATCAAAATTAAAGGTCGAAGGGATGCATAGTTAATGTGTAAGGGGAGAGAGAAGTCGGTGGAAAATGTTAAATAACTGAGATTAAATTGAGTCATCCTTGTTGAAACTTAAATAGAAAAATTCCCCGAATGTAATTAGAGAAATCTCTCGACATTTCTCTAGATAAATTTCGGGAATACGAAGGAAAATGAGTGGCAAAATCATTAAGTTTGATTGTATAAACTATGTAAATAGTTAAATTTTCGCGCAAAAGTATAAAAAGAATTTCTGTAATTATTACGATAAAACCCTCGAAAATATAAATAAAAATCTAAATTTATAAAAAAATATCCAAAAGAGAAATAAATAAAAGAAAAATTCTTAAGAAAAAGCCGAAAAAAATGTATGAAAAAGCAGGAAATTAGCCGAAATGCGCAAAAATTTGCTGAAAAGACAAAGAATAGCATAAAAAATTTCAGAAACCATCCAAAATTCAAACCAATGGCCGACAAATCGATACTAAAAACTGAAGAAAGATCGTTAGAAACAAAGGAAAGTTACAAAAAATAAACGAAAAAGGGACCCAAAGACTACAATCGAAAGAAGAGACTTTCAAGAAAAGAATAAGGCGGAGGCATAAAATTAATTTGAAGAAGTGGAGCATCACCGAGAGACGGAGAAAGGACGAGGAAGAGAAAGAGAAGAAGAAGAGGAAGGGGGAAAAAAGAAACCGAAAGTACGAAAACAAACTTAGAATTTCATAATTGAAGTTAGAAAAATGTTTAAATTCGAAGCTTGATTAAACAATCGACAGAGCAAACAGTAATTTGGTCGTTAGAAAAACAGTAGAAAAAAAAGAAAGTAAGGGACGTCATAAGTCGTGTCAACATAGGAGCAATATTAATAATCACCTGGTTGCATCAATATTTTGTTACTGTCTTGCCCGCAGCTCTTCTGCCTATTGTCATCCGGAACCCGTTGCTCCGTGCTCACAGGAAGAGGAAGCGAAGCAGGACGTGCAGAAGAAAGTTTTCTCCTTCCACCTTCGATGTTTAATCAGGGACGCTCGAGTACCAACATCCGTCACTAAAGGTGTTTTTTGGCAGCAAATGAAAAATGTGGGTAAACACAATGGCCCCTGCCATCTCTTCTAACTCCTGATTGACGGACTCCTATTGACCTTTCACAAGGTAAACAACCTACGTCTGATCTTTCTTTTTTTTTTCTCTCTCCTCTACTTTTCTGCTCCTAATTAAACCTTGGATGCTACGTTTTGACTTTTCCTCCTCTCTTTATCCGTTTTGGGATGTCCACAACGTAATAATTCGTATAGGAGAACGATGCTTCTAACATAGAGAAGTGAAAAGCATCTTGCTCTTCGTTATCCTTGGATTTTTGCGGTTATCGTAATGACGGAGTAGAAAGGTTGTTAAATATGCAAAATATATGCACGAAGTGAGTAGGGAGATGGACTTAAACGCATTAAAAATCCTTAAAAGTTTAGAGAAATGAAGAGCTAAACTAAGGAACTTAATTCTTCGCCTGTTTAAGCTTAAGTTATTAAGAATCTATAGGCTCTAGCAATTGTATAAACTATAAAAGACGTAAATTTTATAAATAATCAGCATTAAAAATGCTTAGAATTTGTAGATAAAGCACGAAATTATCCTAAAAGAAGCGATAACTCGATCAAGACCGCTCAAATTATAGGTGGATTCGCGATACAAAAATCTCAAGAAATATTATAAAAAGATTTCAAATAAAATAATAAAAACTCAAATTAATCTAAATTAATTTATAAATCCACAAAACAATAAAAAAAATATTAATTATACACGATCCGAGATGGTAAAAATCGTTATCATAAATGCAACGAAAAAAAAGAGAAGCATCTTTCAAAAAGAAAAGACGGAAAGGGAGAAGCCGCTAGCGCTTTAAACAATAATTAAACTTTCTTTAAAATCCCGAAGAAGGTGTCACCTGGTAAAAGGCGAAACAAGAATGGAGGGATTATAAATTAGTGTTCCATTGTGCGTGGCCGTGTCAATAAAAAGCTAAGGAGAGAGCGAGAGAGAGAGAGAGGAAGAGAGAGAGAGAGAGAGAGAGAAAGGAGACAACTGCTGCTCTACCAAATGCTTCGCTCGGCAAAACACAAGAGAACGAAGTAAAGTCTTACATCCGGGACTTCCGTTCCGAATCTGTAGCAAGACATTAACGTTTCCGACCGTCGCTTTCTGCATCGTTACGTTCGGCCGTTTGTCTGCAGGGGTTACTTTCTTCTGTCACTTAATACCACTTTTTTTCTTCTCCTATTCTGCACAATGGATGAGTATCTCGTCTCCTCTCCCTTCTCTCTTGCATCTCTCAGCATCCCTCTCCTCCTCCTCCTCATCCTTCTTCCCACTTTCCATTTCGTAATTACATTCTTAAAATTATTTAAAAAGTATTTACATTATTTAAATGACGTCTCTGCTCCTTTCATAAATTTTTCTTAACGTAAAAACTTTATTTTTTTTCTCCCTCTCCTTCTTTCCATTCTCTTCCTCTTACTATCCTTCTGCTCTTGCTGTTCTTTTCTGACTCCGACGGATTTTATTACTGTTTTGAAAGTGTCGAATTAGTTACCGAGTTTGTTTTCTTGTAAAGTTAAGAGCATTAGAAGAAATTACATTATTTAACTATTTCCTTCAAACCATTGATTAAAAAGATGAAATTAAACGGTGTATAATTTCATTTAATTATTAATTTAATTCGTGTCTAACGGTCGAAGCTTTGATTTTAATTAGTTGAAGAATTATTAAGAGTTATTGTAGAAGATCATCTTCGATTCTGTGCTCGTCTGGGAGCCTTTTTTTGCTTTTCTGGGAGCTTTAAAAATAACAAAAAGATTACATTTTGGTTTCATTAAAGGCTTTTTTATTACTTTAAATGCTTTCTCGAGCTCTACAAGATGTATATTTTCACATTTTAAAGCTTAGATTTAAGTGTATTTTACTACCTTTCTACAAGAAATGTTCGAATTTTAAACTATTTTAATCCTTAAAAACCGACTTTAATGCATAATTTTATTTATTTTACGAGTTATTTTCAAGAATATTTAAGTTATAAGCTGTTTAATCCATTAAAAAAAAGTAGTAAAACTTTAAACCCAGTTTACTTGAACGAGATTCAGTTTATAAACTTTCTAACGTATTGAATTAAATTAAAATTAAACATAATTTAAATTAAGAAAAAATATATTTAAAAAATGGAACAGTCGAGTTTGTTTATCTGTAATTACCTAAACTTTTCTGCACTAAGATGAATGATGCGGGATGATGAAACGATGAAACTCCTGTTTATTCAGGACTTTAGTGGAAATTTTTGGATATTAATTAAAGCAGACAAGGTCAAACACGTAGTAAAAGTCACGTGATCAGCCGTTATGAGGGTTGATACCGAATATCGCAAGAGGGAGTCAGCCATTTCCTGTTGATGTCGCTTGATCGGTAAATGATGTCCTTCATTGTTCTCTTTAATGATTATTGACTCGCTCGATAGAAAAAAGGAGAAGATTGTTGGCCAAAGAATGACTTTTGTCCAACTGCAAACGGCTTTCGTCCTTTTCCACTCCCTTACTGAAAATAATGGACCTATACAAGACAAAAATTCCAAACCCCTGTAAAAGTATTTTCTCCTACATACAAATGAGAGCTTAAAAGCCGACTTTACAGGAACCGAGAACGAAATTAGCTTAAAATACGTTAATTTATTAAGGTTTAATTAGTAATTTTACATGATTTTAAATGTTTTAAATCATTTTAAATTAATTTTGCTTCAGTTGATCTATAATTTTACTTCAAAAATCGACATAAAGTTGTAGATACAATGCTATCGATTTTAACATAGAATCAATATGATAAACATGTTTTTGACAGGTTTGAGACTAAAATTCAGTAAATTATGTTTATTTTTTAATATTAAACGATGTATTTTTTGTCATATTAACAGAATTATACCGGGACTAAGTGGAAAACAACGATAAACCATTAAAAAAATTAGTAGAAGTAACTTATAGAAACAGTTAATTTACAGTAATTTTTAAATAGTTTTATAGTTAATTTCCATCAAATATATAAAAAATTAGCTAAAAATAAACATAATTTGTGATTCTAGAGCAAATTAACTACAAGGAAAACACAAAAATATATAAATTTCTACACAAATCTCAAAGAAAGACCGAGAAGCAATCAGACACTTTGTAGCATTAAATACGGTTTTCTACACAAGAACAACGAATCTAAAAGGAGATTTGAATATAAAAAATACATAAAAATAGAGATAAATTATTATAAAGAAAGAAAGGGAAAAAAAAGATGATGATGAGGAAGTTCACGTTGCGTTAAAAGAAA